CTGAACGAAACCCAGCCTGCTCTTCGCAAATCAATCCTTCACGTATTTTGCACAGCCTACGAAGCAAGACAGAAGCCAATAATTTAGACGCAAATGGTAGCAGATTGATACCCCTATGATTGTCACACGAATTACATCGACCCTTTTTAAAGATGGAGGCGATAATGGCTTCGTTCCACATTGATGGTACACTCTCAGTTTCCCATACCTTCCTGAACAACCCAGTTAGAGCCATTGTGAGAATCTCGCCACCATCTTTAAAAAGAGCTGGGGGTAGATTGTCTGGGCCGGGCGCCTTATGGCGTTTTAACACTTGGAGTTCCTTACGGACCTCCGCTTTGGTGGTTGGGTTGGTAACAACAGACCAAGGAGCACTGGGGCTAATGACAGCAGACAGTGAAGCTGGTGGCCAGCTAAACTGCTTCCCGAATTGCTCTGCCCAGCGTTCCAGGCGTCTTTTCAAGCTGGTAATTGGCGTGCCATCTGCCTCACAGGCCGTCTCGCTGACATCTTGTTTCTTGCTGCCGGTGGCTCGGATGAGTTGGAACAGCTTCCGACTGTTGCCAGATGCAGCAGCTGACTCTTTCTCACTCGCACGTTCTGACCACCAGCCTTCACGGTCCTTACGTAAACACTTTCTTATCTTGCGCGTCAGCGCCTTTCGCTTATTGCTGTGTTCGCTGCCAGCCAGAATGGACCAGTGTTCATCCAAGAGTTGCAAGGAACTCGCAGAAACCCAGTGGTTTTTGGCGGAGTATTCTTTCAAGCCGCAAGCGGCTACACTTGCCCTTTGCATGGCACCTTACAGACGAAGCCAATGTTCATCTATACTACTTGGAAGGTTGCTGGCAAGCATTGACTGTAACTCATTCTGATATTTCAAACAAGTAGCAGGTGCTACTAGTTTGCTCACATCAACGTTTAGACGACGCCTTTTATGAATCCCACCAAATCGCAAGACGAACTTGGCACACACTAACGCATGATCGGAGTCCAGGCATGTGCTCCAGAAGGAGCGACAGTCTTGTATGCATCCTCGCCACCGGAAACTGACAGCAATATGATCAATCTGAGTCCAAGCTTGATTCGCAGAGGGAGGACGCCAGGACGATGGTTATGCCGGAAGTTGGTGCTGGCCAGAAATAGGTTGTGATCCGCGAAAAGTTGCAGAAGACGGTCCCCATTATCTGACCTGCGACCATGTAGGCCCCATTGATCACCTAGACGATTCTCCTCTGAGCTCAGACGCCCGACCTGTGCATTCAAGTCCCCAGCGAGCACTACGATATCCCTCCGACCCGCCTGTTTCAACAGATCGCTCAGTTGGTAGTAAAACTCATCCTTCATTGCATCCGGGCTGCAATCCGTTGGTGCATAGGCAGAGACAACAAATAGACACCGCCTATCTGGCTTACTACTCCTTACTTTCGTATAACCTTCCAGCCTCACAGCACATAAACGACTGTTAATGGGAATCCAGTCGAGCAGTGCAGCTTCGGCTCTAGCGCTCAGTGCGACGCCGACACCAGCTACGCCGGATGTCGACGCCTCAGGGTCCCCGGATAAGCGCAGGTGGTACATACCATTAGAACTTCCAGATGGAGAGGATAATCGAAGCACTTCACTGGGATCTTGAATGCGAGTCTCCAAAATACAGCAGACATCGATAGCGAGGCTTTCTAATGTCCTTACCAACCCTGCCTGTCGTCTGATTTGCATCAGCTTCCGAACATTGTAGGAGGCCAGCTTGAACGCGGTTTCAGGATATCTGTGTTAGATGTCACATTGGGGACAACCATTCTGAGGGTTACACACTAACATCTCGAAACGACACAGATAGGCTGGGAATCCAAACAAAGGCGAAAGGCTGTCGCAGGTGAAGAAATCTAGGTTAGCAAGGGTAAAATACAAGAGTCTACGTATAAAAATAAAAGTAAGGTTGGGGACACATAAGTTGCTTGAGGTATCATTATTTCTTGAAATCATTTTTGCGAGCGCGCCATGAGTTTCCATAACAGTTTGTTGCTTCATTTCATTTATTGTATGAGGGCTGAGATACTGCCCGGGCGCCCAGACCGAAGCAGGTGGTTTTCTTAAGGGACCACCCCTGAGTCTTTGACTTGGAGTCTAATCCGCAAGGCAGCGTCAGTTGCTGCGTTCCCATGATTGCCGGTGATCCATACGGGTTCATACGCCATTTGGTGCGATTGAATTCTGGAGCCCATGTACCCCATGGTAACTGTTTTAGTCTAACCGCTATCCAAACAACCTTCTTGACATGGTAGGATCTGCAGGGACATGAGTCCGAGCCACTTTGGCTTGTTGGGTTACTGCGGCATTCAAGCCCGACCACCACGGCAAGGTAGCAGTTATCGGCCGGGACTTATATCATCTAATTGGCAATGGTATTTGTTCTGTATTTTATTCCGTTGTATTCCGTGTGGGATATAGGGCTAGAAAGCTTGAGTCTTCAAGTTTCAGTAGCAGTGGTGTTTATGTTTTACGGGGTGGAGTTGCTAACCTCAAGCACACCCTTCCTTCTTTACCAGGTTTACTATCGGTTGAGGGAAGTTTAGGAGTTCGCCAGTCGGGCTGGGGACTGAACCCCGCGACACAGCTAACCACGTCAAAAAAATCGCGTTAATTCCACCCAAATATACTTTTTTCACTGTGGTTCGTAATCAGATGTGTTGGAAACTCGTTCTTTACCAGATAAGCTGGCCTGTTTTGTTTTTGAAAACATTTCTAAACGGATACATAATATTAGTAGGAATTGTGAGGTATCAAGGATATTCACGAGAAATACTCATCCAGACACGGAAATAAGAACAAACAGTTCCGCAAGGAGTCTCTTTTTATGTCAAACGTACACAGCTCTAAAACAATTGGCCTCCTTTTTATCAGTCAATTAATGTAGTAGAATAGCTTTTTATTCTAGCCATGCCAAATCTACATTTTTAAAAACTGTTACGACTCAGTGTTACTGGGTCAACAATGCGCCTCCAGAATACGATACCAAAATCAACTGATCACTTGAAATTATCTTCCACACTGAGATAGACCCGAAAGTCAGACTGGGAAAAACGACAGCAACGTTTATTACATAAAATACATGGTATATTATATTTAAAAACGTTCAGAAATTTACGCCATGAATAAAACGATTGGTTGTCCAACTTCAAAGAATTAAGCCATAAGTAAACGAATCAAAAACGGTTCAATAAGGTTGTCATTTCAGTATACGATTGACAACTAACTGAGAAGCTTGTCCGTTGCAACACAAACACTGCTGCTTTCCGTGACCTGTAAAAAGCATAGTAATATGATTTATTGAATTATTTCGTAGTGTTTTGTGATTAGCTCATTTTCCGGTGGAAAATGACAGCTGTCCTCTTATTGAACAGAACATACGGCGGAAATTCGACGAATTCAAACTATTAATCAAATGAATTAGCATGAATTTATTAGTGTGTATAGTCGGCTGCATAAGGAAGTATCCGGCATCGTAAAACAGCATGATAATTAAGCTCCCTTGATACATCATAAATGAGCATTCCATTTGTCAATGTCTCCTGGATGATGATTTTTGAAAATAACAGCAATTAAAACTTTACTTAAATATATTTTTTTATCCTTCACGTTCCGCAGTGGAACATAGGGCTTCAAGATAGTGGCTTGAAGTTTCTGTAGCAGTGCTTATTTTACAGGATGGGATTGCTAGCCTCTTTCCCAACCTTTCCTCTTCACCAGCATTATTTCTGGCTTAGCGAAGTAAAGGAGTGCGCCGGCCGGGGATCGAACCCCGGACCATGTGCATGGTCGGCGAGCGTCCAAACCACTATGCCACCGACGCACACTTAAATGTATAATAAAACCTAATGGTTAAGAAATTACTACTTCATATGCTTAATTCATTTCACTGTAGACTTTATCATAAACCAACACTGGTTACGGACTTATTACAAACCCAAAGCCTTGACTTTGTTAAGTTGTGGTGAGAGCTGTCTGCTAGCCAAAATTGGTAGACAGCAATTTACGTCAATGTTTACGTCCCAAATCTTGGTTATGAGAAAAAAACAAGAACAAAGACTAACTCAACAACCAATCACAACAGACTTTGCGTGGGCGGATACGATTAGCAGATATATGGTCTGACCTTCAAAGAAACGGCCACAAAGAGATGACAGATTAACATTCAGCGAGAAAATAACCAATCAGAAGACGCTGTTCCTTTGTTAATAATAACGATTAATAATGTACATAAAAATATATAAATATCTCTTGATTTCCTCAATAAACGATCTGTTGCCTGGCCCTTGTCTTCTGTCGTCACAAGTGAACTCGTGACCATTAAGTCACTGGGTAGCAATTCAATGGCCCATGAATCCAACTTGTGTCAATTCGTGATAAAGAGTCAATGCAATTTAGTATCATCAATGAATATATGCCCTTAAATGGAACCCAAATGGAAAACGATGAATTGGGTGTCCGAGGGTGACACAGAGGAGATGAGAAACGATGGGTAACCATGGGGCCAGCTAAGGAGGACCGCGGTGAAAAGGACAAAGTAGAGGTGTGCTGCTCGGAACCCAAGGGAACAATAATAATAATGAATATATAACCTTACGCACAAACTGGTGGTCAAAGACAGATTAATATTAGTATTCAGATCTATCAACTTCTTCAGAATTTTTAATGGTTCTCAGACTACTATCGGTTTGTTACGAAACTTGCATAGGAAGATACTAATTGTTGAGAGATTATTCTTTCATACTAATCTTCAAACGACGCCTGAAAAGTATCACTACGGAACACTTTTAAAAAATGCAAAAGATAGGCATAATTGTATACAACTATATTTTTATAACTTGTTTTGAACAGATAAACCTGCTACAAGTCAAATAATATAATTAACAGTACAAAAAGAAGGAAAATAAGTATTGCAAAAAGAAAGTAGAGAAAGAAGATATGAAGTATATACCCATGAACATGATCTGCTTTCACTGTAATCGTACCAAAATGAGATCACCATTTTCCAGACTATAATAGCCTATTTCACGTGTATCTCCATCCAATGGTATTACTGCAGTATTATCATGACCCCTTTTACTTTGTGCATATAATTCAAATGATGTTTTCGGTGATAGATGGAATAGTCGCCTAGTCAACATACGTAAGTGATTAATAGTCATTCGACTAGGAATTTGTTTATGAGTTGTATTGTTTTCATTCACCGGCAATTGACTATTTGATTCGTTTAATTTTTGGCTATTGCTTTGTTGTATGACAAAAGTAACAGATATAAGACCTTCCTTAATTGAACGGGTGACTAGCTGAAAAGGAAAAATCAAAAGAAGTGAGAAGATAATATTATAATGTTAGGTTAGATATAAGTAGAAATAATGACACACTCCAAGCTTAAATATTTTTATTGCTACTCATTGTAATTTATCTTCTAGGTGCTTTCCTTGCAAAGAAGCGAACTCCAAATACGCTTTATAAGAATCTATTCATGCAGCATATGAGTAATAAAATCCGTAAGATGATGCTGCATGACTGCTCTACACCGACTTCTAGTTTACATATAGGGAGTGAAGCTGTTCAGCATACTGACCACTTCGGTTATTTAGGAAGTTTCATCAACCCTAATAGACTGATTGCTGCTGATATCTCTATCCTTCTTTATGGCTGCTGAAAGTAGAAGACCTGAAGACGGTAGCTGTCTTTGGCGATGAGTGCCAACGTTCTACCTCTTATGTTAAGTAGCATAGTCAGGAAGGGTAAACTAATCGATGAGGTTGTGAAAGTGCACCGACTAGGATGACTAGAACACGTGTTAGGCATAACAAACCATCGCTTTCAGAGTCGACTAATGTCAGCTGAGATTACGCTGAAAAATAGTTAGGGGTGGTCACATAAAAATATGATACCAGTCCATAAATCTTTAACAATTGGTTTGAGCCAGCCACTTAGGGAGGTGTAGACTGCCTGACTGGACTGTTAGTGATATCATTCAAATATCATTTTCAATGGTAAAGATGCATACATTCTTTGTTATCTTCCAGATCTTTTAAATCCTGACTATTTTCCATGCAATTACGCTTTCTCCCGTACCTTTCTGTTTATTAAACATTCTTTGCATGAAGTGTGGCAACTTGAACTGCTGAACTTTTGTGCGTAGTTCTATGCTGAAAAGTCACTTTAGTTCAACATTCTACACAGTCGCCTGTTTATACATACAGACTTCAAAATACCACTTATTGAGTATTTAAGCGATAAACTAAGGCCCATGCCAAGTCTGTTTGAATGTGACCTTCTGGTTTTTGATAAAACTGAAAACGCTGTTCCATTACCACTTCAGAAAATACACAACCACATGAAGTGAAAGTTATAAAGATTGAGATTTTAAAATTGATAAGAAAGATTAGGGTGATACTTTCTATTCATTAAAATATCACATAAGAGGTAATAATCAAATTAAAAAATTTAATATCTTAAGGAGGTTTAAAATATGGTCTCTACACTCATCAATTAGGTTTTCATGAAATCTAAAGTGCAATTATTATTATTATTGTTTCCTTTAATTCCTAGAGGAACATAGAGCTTCGGCCGTGCGTCTCCATTGCGTTCGGTTCTCTGCTAGAGTCTTCACCTGGCTCCAAGTCTGCCCACTCGTTTTCATCTCCTCCTCACATGACCTCCTCCAAGTCACCCTTGCACTGACGACCAAATCGCCGCTTCCCTTTCGGGTTCCACTCGAGCAATGGCTTGTCTAGTGATGTCACTTGGTGGTTGGTTTTCTCAGAGTATGGCCAATCCATCTCCATTTCTTCCTGCCTATTTGTTTCACAATCGGTTCCTGGTTGGTTCGCTCATCGCCAGAGATCTCTGCTACTGATCTTTTCTGGCCATCTGATCTTTAATGGTATTGAGCGAAGACAACTGTTAATGAAGGTCTGTAGTTTGTTGGAGGTGCACTTTATGACGCGCAGTGCAAGTCTCTGATCCGTATAGTAGCACTGACTTCACATTGGAGTTGAAAATCCGGATCTTACTTATGATGCTGAGTGCTGTTGACCTCCACACAGACTTGAGAGGTCTACTGAGGTAAGATTGCATTGAAAAAGCTTAAGACCACCAGATTAAGTTACGGCATAAATTCGTGAAATTATCAATCTTTTATCTGAGGTGCATCGGCTTTGGGAATGAAGTCAATCAGACATAAAAGTCGTTAGTTAAATGACTCAGATATGATTTAGTCACTGTCGCGACTAATAAAGGCTTACTTTAGTTTCCCCGATTTCAGGAGCTCCATATTTCTCACAAAGTCTGGTAAAAACTGGATGCAATCTATGAAATTCTTCAGATGCAGTTACACTTATTTGGTCATCAGCCTGGTTCATTTCAGTAATACGCAACCAATCTGCTCCATAACGCTTTAGATAATCAATTTCAGCACCACGACGCTCTTCAGGGGTTATCACCACACGATCCAACATCTTAATATTTGGTAGACGAGCAATTATTTCCTGACGAGCAGTTTCTTTACTACATAAATATGAATGCAAACAGAATAAGAATAATAAGTAAAACATGTGGCGGTATCAATGTTATCAACAATAAGTAGTAAACACAGAATTTCAAAAATAATATTTCGTAGGTGATACATTATCAAATAAGTGACGCTAGTTATACAGCAAAGCTGTAGCCTTGATCTGAATTTCAATCAGTGGGTCAGAGGTTCGAGGCCCACTCCACGCACCGAAGTTTGAACAGTTCTGTGTGGCATAACCAGCCCTCACGCAATAGGTGGACTCACTGTCAATTTTATGGGATCGCAAGTGGTTGTTGAGTTGCATTGGTTGATTGATTGATCGGTTGACTGATTAGATGAATTAGGAAGAAGTTTAGATTTACAGGCGTTAACATAAACGCTAGATATGCTTTCGCACGTTGTCACACTTTAAACCAGCAGTGGCAAGAAATACTAATTCCGAAAATGAGAATGTGAAACAGAATATAAAGAGTAAGTAACCAGAAATAGAATCAAATTAGAAAAAACGAAAATGAGTAGAGTACTACGAAATGTGAACTAATAAAGGCGTTCAGAAATTTGTAGACTGTAAAGAGTGAATAAAGGGGTTAGATAAGGCTGCCTACTATCACCGATGATATTCCAAACTGTGCTGGACTGGATTATGCGTCAGACTGTGGGGAGTGAGAAGCGAGGGATACGTTAGACCGATAAGATGACTCTAGAAGGTTTGGATTTCACAAATTATGTCTAATCCTTCACAAACTCGAAGACTTAAATGCCAAAGCCAGCAAGTTGGTAGGAGAATCAGCAAAGACAGGACTTTAAGTGAACACAGAGAAGACGGAGGTGATGAAGTTAACCACCCAACAACAACAATCACTATCAACGGGAAAATTTGAAAGGTCACTTCTTTCACGGATGACGATACCGAAACCAGGATAGGAAAGGCAAGACAGGCATTCACCATTCGGAAATCAGTTTGGAAATCTCCACTCGGCAAAAGGAACAAAATTCGAATTTTCAACACCAATGTTAAGCCGGTTCTCCTTTATGGTTTAGAAATCAGGCGCGTTACGAGAAGCATTTTCAACAGTTTGCTACAGACTTTCAACAACAACTGCCACACTGAAGATCAGATGGCCAGAAAGAATTAGCAACAAAAAACTATAGGAACGAACCAACCAAGAACCTAATACTCAGTAAATATACCGAAGAAAACGGAGGGGATTGAACACACGCTGAGGAGACCGTCGAATGACATAGTGCATCAGGTCATCATTCTGGTGGAACCCGAATAGAAAACAACGAGTGGGGCGTCCCAGTGTGATATGGCAGAGATTGTGAGAGGAGGAAGAGAGACTATGCGCTATCGTGGAACCAGCTTAAGAGGATTGCGAAGAACACGACAAAATGGAGACGTGCTGTAGAAGCCCTATGTTCTATTCGGAACGCTAGGGAATAATAATAAAGCGCGAATACATTTCTGTTATCGTAACTCATTTCGAGCCATATTAACCAGGCTGTTTAGGTATTGATTCTTAACATGACACCTTGAAACAAGTGAGATATGCTTCCGTACCCTTAATACGCAAAAGTCATACAGTTAATGTATTTGCATCACGTTTTAGTCTAGTTACTCTTAACTTTTTTATCAAAAAAGCTCTGCTCCAGTTGAAATTACATACACAGTGACAGTTTCGGTCACTTCAGTACACTAAGATTTAGGGCCTTGTTCTTTTTTATTTAGCGATTCGCTTCTAAGATTGACAAAGTTTTTCCTGTGTTTTATTATATATGAAACATTGTATGGCGAGACAAGTTTCAGAACATGAACCTAAACACACAGAAAAAACTTTTAATACTTAAAATGCCGATACTTTTGACAACTGCATATATAAAATAATGGGCTGGTCAAAAAATTATAAATCTTTTATTATTGGGGTGAATTAAAATCACTTTAATATCTTGTACTTAGTGAACAACAAACAGACATGTGGCCTGGAAGATAACAATTAAAATATCTCACTTACGGGGAACAATCTTCGAAAACTGGGCAATCCGATACCATCAAGTGGCTCAATTTAGATAAGTGCAGTAGTCGATTTGCAAATTTCCAATCTTTGAACAAGTTGCTTTTTAAACCCAGCATACTGAGGTTTTGAAACCATGATATTTTACCATTATAATTATTACTGCCAACTCGCTTTTGACAGATATCTTCAGACACATTGCATAAATCTGGCAGTTCTGAAATCTCATTACAATTCAACAACAAAGTGTTTAAATTTGTAGATGGTCCGATCAGAGTAAATAATTGATAAGCAGACGTCAGATTTATGTGAGTTAAGTCCAATTCACTCAATCTTCGGAAAGCCTCAATAGCGCTTTCCTCCCAATCACACGAAGGGTTACCTAACTAAATGAAAAAAAGACAATAATGACTTTAAAATAACTGGTCATTATTTTGTCTGACTAAGATTATACATATTTGCATTCATATCACTTTACAAATATTAGACTATAAGGCGTTGATTACATCTCATGTCTATCCTAATTCTTAAAAACTTAGTCAAATGATCTAACGGGGCAACATCACTTTTTTAGGAAAATAGCCGATTCTCATTTATATTCATCAAAGTGACTTGTCCACTTCACAGTTTGCAGTAACGAAGATACTCAGAAGAAGAGAATGGAAAGAAGAAATAATGATTTTCACTTAGTTGCCTGTGGGTGACTCCACACTAATAATATATATTTTTCATACAATACATAAAATCCTAGGCCAGTATTGATGTGTTTGCAATTGGAATCCACCAAGATAAGTCGAACCTGTACATTCAGAACGAATTCGTACAACTGACTTCACACAAATGAGGAAATCTTTTATTATTACCCTAGTTTTCTTCGTTAAATACCACCTCTTAGATATGTTGATATGGTTAACAAACTTATAGATTACAAAATAATTTATATGGACTGTGATCAAGATGATTGCATCTATCAGTTTGAATAATGCCAGAGATATCCACTGGCATTTAACCTTTGATTGCAGTTCATCAATCACACTCATTATTGTTTGTGCAGCAGAAGGGATACGTGCCAGAGATCAGAAAGAATAGTAGTGTCACACTTAAACATGTCTAATCATTTTCTCCTTAAACACAGACCTCATTTTCTTATGAAGAAAAGCTAAATATGTAAAAATGTGTAGCTGCTTATTTTCTGTGTTCATCCAGTTGCTGGCCCTCAAGTGCACGAACTTTTGAGTGGTCGAATTCCCGACATTTTTCGTCAATACTCTTCAGTGATAAATCTTAGTAAGACAAAAGTCTATTTTTGTTCATCACTGATGCGATTTTAGCGGTCGCATGATGAGAGAATGACTGTCCTTATGTTCAGAGTTAGAACTAACCAGGAACATACCATTATCTGATTTATCGACATGGGATACCTTAAATGCTCCCAATAAGCTCCCTTATTTAAAATAAATTGCTAGTATGACCATATCCAAGTGTTTCGCTTTTAGCGACAGGCTAGACAGTTTCTGATAAAACTCCTTTATCCCTTCCCAACTATCCGGTGTATATAATTAGCGGTCCAAGAACATTAGGGAAATGGAAGGGGTTAATTAGAACCAAGATGGATACAATTATGGTTATCTCTATCTGTTATCGTAATACTGTCGAAAGGTATCCCACCTTAACTACAAAGATGTGGCGTAGATCGTTACCGCTCTGGTGGCTCTGTCTACATGCAAAGGAAAAGATATCCTACAATGATGAAGCTTGAACTCAACCATCTTAGGAGCTACAAATGTATACAAAATCTTATCATTAGCTTCATACGACCACATGAACAACTCTTTGAGACGAGGATAATAGAAATACCTATGGTGAACATACTTCTACATTTAATAACTTATGATAACAGAAACAGGTGAATTTTAATAAAGATAACAAATGTTTTATGTTAATTAATCGATAATAAATGGTAGGATATTTTTCGTTAAATATTTTTATGAAAATAGTAACTAACGTTATTGTATGCAAGTGATAAGATCTGTAAACACGGCATCCAACATATTATTCTTCGAATACATTCCCAGTCCAAGGGTGAACATCTAACCAAAGTAAGTTGGGACAAATGTGGAAAAGCACTGGAGCACAGTTTTTCACTCAGTAAAGGATGTGAATCCACATCATACAGAAGCCTTGATTCCAAACATCCGCTGGCATCATATTTATTAGAAACTTCATTGGGAGAAACAGGTAAACGAATGCGGTTGCAACTAACATTGAGAGATTTCAACCAAGGGATTTGAATGCAAATCTAGCAAAAGGAAAATGAAATTCCTTAGTATATGTCAAGAAACAGGCTAGGAGCTTCCAAAAATAAAAAACTCACCTCGGCGATTTCTGTCCACTTAGATAGCAAGCAGTTACTCATTTCTAATTCGGTCAAATTTGTTAAAAACTGACCTAAACAGCCTCCAGTTGATGGCCAAAGAGGTGCATATTCAGGTTGATGATTGGTATCATAAGTTTTCGTTCCGTATAGCGCACGATACACAGGTATTGATGACAAGCTAACACTTTTTAAACGGTTTAATCTGTCTTTGGCCACTGATGCACCACAAGCATTGTTATGGGAACTCGACTTTTGACTTTGGTTAATCGCAGGAGTAGTGTAAAGTTCAATACGTATTGCACCTTTCACTTGCCCATTATCACCAGAGTACTCAGCGTCTTGTGGACTGAAATTATCACTGATATAGGCATCCAGACGACCCGGTTGGTTGGTTTCATGAAAAAGGCTTTTTTTAACGCTTTCTTCAGGCTTATGTGAGCAAGAATTGATTTGAGCTTCCAACTGGCAAGATGCACATAAAGCATACCTGTATACAAGCGCTTCTTCTAAACTAGTTCCCAAAGACAATTTCGAAGGTCTAAACAGCAAAACGATACAGACAAAATATGACCTGTTAAGACTCTCAGATAAAATAAATCATTAAAAATCTTTTGATTTTACAAACAACCGGAACGTTTTGATTGAAAATTATGAATGCGGTCAACAAAATAGGGTTGCCATAATCTAATCGAAATTACTGACTGTCGGGTTTAGCTGTGATAGTTTCCCTGTAGATTGATGAAAAAACTATTTTCAAGTGTCAGGTTTCTGAAATTTCATTGATTTCATGGTTCAAATAAGTTGTAGCCTGCGGGGTCCACCAAGTTACGGTGAGGATTGTCAGAAGCCAAAAGTTGACAGGAACAAACATTTGCAACATAAGGAATTTCTGATCACTTATTCTTCGTCGTTTGAGGACTCTAACCAAAAACTCTATACCTTCCTATACAGTTTAGACAGACAATAAATGACTTAACAGAATGCCTAAATGTTATATAATATGACATTCGAAACTAACCGTCTTCTAGCTAACACTGCTTGTCAAGGAAGGCGTTGGTTCACCGTGATGTCTGTCTACCATGAAAGTGGGAAAAAAGTGCAGTGATTTATATTATTTCACAGATAACATAATGAAACTAGATACACATTTCCCCCGGTAACATTACTTTTATTAATTGACCATTAGTACAGCTGTGAAATGTCGTTAATGGAAGTAAAGCTTTTTAGTTTGAAAGTCCTAGAATAAGACTAAATATGTTTCGAGAGGTTTTTTATTTGTTTCTTTTCTGAGTAAAATAAGGAAGTAACCTGAGGTTTTCACAACTTGAGTCAATGGATTTAACGGAAATGTCTCTATAATAACCAAAGGCACGGTTTTTTTAATATTCGAAAATTTAGAATTTCTCTTTCCAGTTCTTCTGATGTTTCCCCACCTTTACGTGTATTCCTATTTATTATGATTTCGCTGTTTGTTTAATTTTAATTAATATTGTTTTCAAGTTTCCGCAGACGAAGTAATTTACAGAAGTGGAGATAAGAAAAACCTATTCCTGTTTCGTAACGTAATAACTGCTTCGGAAATTATTCCCGTTAGGAGCCAGATACCCTGCTGTAAAAATATTATTTTTCATCTAAAATGAGAAATGCACGAGTGTGTCCTCGCCTGCAGGATAATGAAGGGGTTGGAAACGATTCGTATCAAGTTTCAAGGTGTTAAAACTTTGATTGCTTTAGAAGTACTACACTTACATTAAAATTGATTGAATAATAAATTACGTGGGATAAATAAATACTGTAAGGAGTCTTTTCTCATTATAAAAACAAGTGTTATACACTGTAACCACCAGTTTACAACATTAATTCAAATATATTTTATGTATTATTGTGCATTAAAGGACACTGGCAGGTCTATTTACGCCATACCACTGAGAGAATTTCCCGAAGAAATTTTGTTCGGTTCACGACAACTGCAGTTCCTGCAGGTCACATAAAACTCCACACATAAGCTGTAATATGTACAGGCCAGAAATAATCCAACAGTGAATAAAGACTATAAATATACCCTAGGTTAACGGCACTTAAACTGGAATACACTCACTTTACAAATGAGCCAGATGTTGGACTCTTGGACTGAAAGTAACGAATGCCATTGTAGCTCCCATCGTGCCGACCACGTGAAAAATCATCCCAATCAATACCAAGCCAGATGTCTTTCGAATTGGGTAGCTGACCAACGTAACATATTGTACCGAAATGTTCTTCATGTACAACTCGTCTACCAATGAGTGATTCATTAGCATCAGTTATTTTACCACATTCCGTCCCCAAATGCACATTTGGAATGGGATTGTGACTTGAGACATCATCTACAAATGTCCTGTATAACGTATTAAGGCAGGTCAACTCGCTAGATCATTACTAACTCACATGGTAACGAACAAGTCGAATAGGTTTACAGACAACTAAACGATTGTTCAATTTTCAATGAGCAATAGTTAAGATAGTTAATAAACTATACCGTATAATCAGAAGAATAGGCATACTCCTTGCGTCCTAATAAACACTTCAACCACTAAATGAAACGAAGTGGCACCTTTCTCTTGATCCTTCTGGATAGATCGTTGACCACAGAAAATCTACGTTATTTTACCAACCAAATGTAAGCAGTACACGAAATATGATACAAGGTGGCGAAAAACATCGACGCTGTCCTGCAATCAGGGTCCGTACAGCTCTGTAGAACGCAGAAGACATAGTAATGTAGTTCGAAAGGCTTATATATGTGGCACTTGTTGTCTATGAGTGCGCTTGAATATCCAGACATCGGGATGAGACTAGATAGTACAGAGTCTGTCAAAAATAGTTGCATTTACGCTTTTTATTGTCGCATTGCAAGATAAATCCACTATATTTCAAACAAATGGTAGATGTTATGCTCTGTGTGCTAAGCACGCTTCTTGAAAAGATTTTATTTTAATTAAACTATCCTCCTACTAGTAAGTCTCAGACAGTAGCATACAGAAAGTTTAAATTCAAAAGTATATACGTAAAGCACCCTATAATATACTTGGTTTCAGGAGGCACTGTGTTAGACTGGTGAGCTCTGGAAATAATTTTATAACAAGTATAAATTTGCACACAGGTGATCACGGAGAATGTCATTTGAAATAGTAGAGTGGATCTGTATCATGAAATTAGGACAGAGTAGTTGACCTTTCACGCGAAACTGTATGTATAATTCAAGGTTTTCGTCTCTTAAGTGGAGAAATACTTAGGTTGGTTGTAAACGGTGTCCGTCATTAGGCCACATAATACAACGGTTTTCAAACGAAGAGTTAACATTCTCAGTTTTACGACTGCTTTAGCCAGCCACGTTGGGTGGTACTCAGGAAGGTGGCGGTGGGTTTGATGAGCCGATCTGCATATGTTACTGCCTGCACAAGAACAGTTAAATTTTTAAATGCAATATGAGGTGTCCGCAACGATAAGTTGGAAATTCATCACTCGTTTTATAATTCCAGTGTAGGTGAAGAATAGGTTATTGAGTTTGGACACTTCAATGTGCATTTATAAATTTAACTGTTCCTATGGAGGCAGTTACATACGTAGAACGAGTCGCCTAGCCTACTGCCGCCTTCTGGAGCATTGTCCAACGTTGTTAGGTAAAGGAGTCATAAATTCATTCAGAAGTTCCATGCTAGCACACCTTGTGGATAAGGAACACAAAATTGGCATAAATTCCGCCTTTACAATTCTACACAAGGTGCCACTTTAGTTCTGTGTGTTTGTACATCTTCGATTACTACGCATTGCTAAGGCAGCTTCTATAAAATATTTTCAGCTCAATCTTCGTGTTCAGAAAAAGTCTGTTCAATCCCTCTCCCTTACATGGCCATCAACCTGACTTAAAATAGTTATTGTGGCTACTGGTCTTATTATTATTATTATCATACATTCCTTTGGATTATGTTTGACCCTTTGGATCCATACAGTTTCGAATCTTAAGAGTGAAATTCAGACCTTCGTGAACAAAAAAAGTCCACTGATCTTGACGCATCCGCTAAAATTCTTCCTTTCAGGTGGAAAATAGCCATTTAGGATGCCACCTTGCCTATGTATCAGAACTCGGTGGTACCATTGATCACCTCAGTCGGTGCTTCCGACACTGCAGTCGGCTTAGTTCTGCAACAACTAGCCAACGAAAAGCGGCAGAAACTCGCGTTTTTCTCGAGGCGCGTACAACTGGCAGTAATTAAGTGCAGCACATTCGGTAGAGAACTTGTGACAATGTACTGTGCTATACTCCACTTCCAGCATTCAGTGGAAGGTGGTGAATTTATAACTTTCAATGACCACAAACCTCTGACGTACTCTTTGAACTCAACTTCAGATAAGTATTCACCTAGAGAATCACGACAACTGGACTACGTTTCACAGCTTGCATAGGATATTTGCCATGTGTCCGGAGCGAAAAACACTGTTGCAGATGCCTTGTCGCGCACTTGTTCTCTCGCCCAAATAGACGATATAGACCTAGTAAAACTGGTTCGTCTTCAAAGAGAAGATACCGAATTTCAACATGAAAAGGAATCTGCAATTAGCCTAGGTAGAGACAATATTCTTTGTGACATTTCCACAAGTACTCCTCGCCCCATCGTGCCTGTAATTATCGCCGCAACTTCTTCAATACGTTGCATGGCTTATCCTACCCAGGTATTCGAACTACCGTCAAGCTGGTAACTAGTCGGTTCTGTTGCCATGGTATTTATGAAGAAGTAAGGGAATGGGCCCATACGTTCTTGGCATGCCAAAAGTGTAAGGCAGTAAGACGCACCAGAATCATTCTTGGCAACATTCTTATCCTCGAGTCTCATGAATACTCCCATACATTAAGCTGCATTGGCCTGAAGCAGTACCCCTCAAGGATGTATCTTCTGAAACAGTCACACGCATCTTGATCGAACGATGGATCGCGAATTTCGGATGCCTGTTCTCCATTAAAAATGGTTGCAGGTGGCAATTAGAAAGTAGCTTATTCGTGGCTTTGACTAAAATCCTTGGTTGTATGCGTTTTAGAACCACAACCTACCATTCTCAAGCAAATGGTATGGTAAAAATTTCAAACCAACAGCTGAAGGCTGGATAATCAGCAGCAAACACTGTACACTGGACTGAATCACTACGGTTAGTTCTCCTAAGAATACGAAATGCCTTGAAAATTGATGCTAGTTGTACTGCCGCTGTATATAGCACAGCATCATGACTACCGAGTGAGTTTTTCCCCCTCCAGCTTCACACCAGCTGTAGACCGTGCATCGTACGTCAGCAGGTTTACAAACTCAATGCGTTCAGTTAAACGTGTTCCTCTCCGACTGCAGTCCATAGACGTTTTTGTTCACAGTCCTAAAGATCTCATATGTATTTGTTCATCGTGACTCTGTGCGTTGCCATCTAGAACCGCCATAAGATGAACAATATAAAGTCATTAAACGTAGACAAACACTCCGTTAGTACTAATCGCTTGAAACCGGCTTACTTAGAAGGCAATCCCATGAGCCTTGAACTGAGTTTCACTAGCGGCTCCACCACTAGATTTTTACTTCCGGCCGGTTTCGTCCTCACGACACCACTACGGGGGAGTGGGCTATAGCGGCAGATAGTTCCTCAGAAATATTAGTCTACAGTATTCATCGCTCAGCAATGTATGCTGACCTTCACAGTTTAAGTTGACTTGTTTGGCTGAAGTCCCACGGTTAACCATCCACGCCATTTGACACGCCATTGTGTTGCGTCCATTCGTTCGTGCACGATCCCTAGCTAGTTAAGCACTCATTCTCATATTAAGACTTTAGTCCTGAAATATACTTCTTAATTTGTATGATTATTTGGTGTTTTCATTTGTCTTTGGTCTACGAGGAAAAAAACCCTAGGAGTTGAGCTCGCCAGACCTCGCGTTAGTGTGTGTCGTACTATCCATGAACGTTAGCACACCCTGGGCCGGTGAACTCCACTGTGTCCAAACACGCCCTGCCGGACCTCAGAATTATTCGCATGATGATACCATGGAATCTGAGCAATCCTACGGAGACGGGGATGGGCGAGTACTCAGATTCGCCAAACATCTTCAGCGTGGAGAGGCCAGGTATTAAGGGCGAAGAACGAGACTGCACGCACCGACGTACAGCTGACTTGACTTTCGACAGCCGGATAAGAGTTTCAGGGGCTTCACGAGTGGCTGAAACCGGCGTATGCCATTTTAGCTTTCATGGTAAGATTAGAAATCTCAGCAGTCAAAACTCTGCCAGCATTCACACAACTACCCAGATACAGGAACTTGTCGACAACTTCAAGAGGTTCATTTTCAAGAGTGAGTGCAGGTACAGCCTGTTGCTAGTCTTGTAACAATACTTAGCACTTGGCGTAAAGCACATACTGGTCGCCAGCTAAATAAGTGCGATCTAGGAAAGCTGCATGCTTTCTCACAGTGCTGGGGATCGAAAAATCTTTCTCTAGGAAGCACATCTACACCACCGCGCGCATCCTTCAGAGCTGACTGCAGAATGTCATCGAAGACAAAGTTGAAGAGAAATGGAGAGACTGCAACCCTGTCAAACCCCACTGCTGGTTAGGAACAGTGGTGACAGCTTGTTATATACCCTCACTCTACCCGAAGTGTTCCGGTGTATGGTTTCTAGGGTGTTAACAAACTTCTCAGGTAAGTATTTTTCTAACAGACAGTTCTAGAGAGTACTCCTATGCACAGAGTTGAAGGCAGCCCTAATATCAAGAAGCACAACGGTTGTTGGCCTATAATACGTGCGGTGGTGTTCCAACAGCTGACGTAGGGTGAACGAATGATCAGTTCATCCACGGCCTGAAAGAAGCTCACCTTGCTATTCGTGAATCACTCACTCTCCCCCAGAATCAGCCATCATCCGTCAAGAAGTTGCTAGGAACTCACAGAAACTCAGCGATTTTCAGTGGAGTACTCCATTAGTCCTCAGGCTGCTTAATTCAGCATTTCTATAGCGCCTAGCAGATGTAGCTGATGTTCAAATATACTCCTAGAAGGGTTTCCAGCTAGCTTCGATTGTACCTCCACCTGGTAATTCAAAGAGGTAGAAGGAGTCTACCGGTTTGCGTAAATCGAAACGTAGGGGAATCTGTTAATGCTTCACACCAAATCGCCAGAAGGACATGGCAGAAAGTGAAAGCCAATTCGGAGGAAAGCAATGTGTTCTAGAAATGGTGGCGGTCCAGCAGGCATCCATGCGACCGGAGGCTGGTAGCAACTTGATAAAAATAAGTTCAAGCTCGGTTATTAAATTAAGGATACCAAAATTATTGATGGCGATGCATGCTTGTTTCTAGCCTACAATCACAAACACTTGTTTCACTGAAAACAAAGACAAACCAGAACACATTACTGATCTTTCGAAATATAAGATAAATTTCACGGTTG